TGGCTTCGCCCGGGAGGTGTAAGGCTGTTATCGACACCGACCTGGCTACGCACCAGTCCCAAAGTTCCAGCGACAGCTTGAGAAGTTTTCTCGAGCCCGTTCCTCCTTGCTTGTTCACGTAGAACATTGCCACCATGTTGTCCGTGAGGATTTGGACAGACTTCCCCGTGACCAGGAGGGCGAACGCCCTCAGGGCTTTGAAGATTGCCAGCAGTTCCAAGTAGTTGATATGGGACTGCCTTTCCTGAGGAGACCAGAGGTCGTGTACTGAAAGTTCTCCTGTATGGCATCCCYATGCGAACATCGAGGCGTCCGTCGTGATYGTGACGGCTGGGGGCTCTGGGTGAAAAGGAATGCCCTTGCAGACATGCTGRCGGTTCATCCACCARTTYARCGAGTCCTTTACCGACCTCRRTACCAGSAGGCRCTTTGYRGCACTGTCYCGCATGGGGYTGAAGTGGTCCAAGAACCATCTCTGGAGGGGGCGGAAGCGGAGTCTTGCCAATGGCGTCACCATCACCGTGGAGGCCATGTGTCCGAGGAGGACCTGTATCTGCTTCGCCGGGACCACTCGGGGGCGACGCACCTTGAGTGTTTCGGCTCGAAGAGCCCTGAATCTCTCCTCCGGAAGGAAGACTGTCTGGGAGAATCGAACATGGCGCCGATGAATTTTATGCAAGTAGTGGGCTCGAGATGGGATTTCTCCTCGTTCAATTGGAGGCCCAAGCTTTCGAGGAGGGAGAGTGTCCTTGCCACCTGAGCTCGCAGGAGGTCCGGAGAGCGTGCTGCCAATAACCAGTCGTCTAAGTAAGGGAAAATGCGGATTTTTTCCCTTCTGAGGGCCGCTGCGACCACCGACATGCATTTGGTGAAGGTTCTTGGTGCCGTCACGAGACCGAAAGGGAGGACATTGAACACGTACGTCTGTCCTGCTACCCTGAAGGCCAGGAAGCGTCTGTGGTGCTTTCTGATTGAGAGATGGAAGTAAGCGTCCCGGAGATCGACGGACGCGAAGAAGTCCCCGTATCTGAGGAGAGGGAGAATGGACGATACCGTCACCATCCGAAACTTTTGAGGTTCGATGAAGGAGTTTAAGTCTCTGAGGTCGAGGATGGGGCGGAGGGAGCCATCCGGCTTTGGGACAGTAAAGTATCTGGAGAAGAAGGCTCGATGGTTTTGAGAGTCCGGGAGAGGGGAAATTGCCCCTTTCAGAAGCAAGGTCTCGACCTCTGTCAGAATTGCCGAGGATGGTTCGGTATCGACAATCTGCCCCGTTGGTGGGAGCTCTTCGAAATCCAATGCATAGCCTTCGTCGACAATCTTTAAAACCCATGCATCTGAGGTGATATTTTCCCATGCAGGGAGAAAGTTTCAGGCGATCCCCGAACGGTGTCGAGCCGGATGGAAGGATGAGGGCGGGTACCATTGGGAGGGACATGGGAACAACATCGGTAACGAAACTGCAAATGGTATCGTCCGCAAGGGCGTCAAATGCGGCGCCTGGCCTGGTTGCCTCCTGAAGCCTGGCGAGAGCGTGAACGCTGCTGCTGGTGCTGCCTCCGTTGCTGTTGGGGTTGTTGAGGGTGGGCTTGTTGGGAGGTTTGTAGGGGACGGGCTGGATGGCGGTATTGAATGGTACGGTACGGGACCGTGTGCCGACGTTTGTATTGGAACCACCTGGTTCTTTGTGCCTGGTTCTGATTCTCAAAACCACACTTAGAGGCCAGAGTCTTGAAGTCGTGATTTGACTTCAGCTTGTCGTCCGTCCCAGCGTTGAAGAGCCCCAGGGCATCGAACGGAAGGTCTTCGATCACCTGCCTCGATGATGTGGAGAGGCCAGATGATCTCAGCCAGGCATGCCTCCTGATTGCCACAGCGTGAGCAATCATCTTGCCCGCAGTGTCTCCCGTGTGTTTGGCCATCTGCATCTGATGATGCGCCAGAGAGTTCGCCTCTTGAGCCAGGGTGGTCATGGCAGCACGATCCTCGTCAGACATCCTCTGGAAAAAAGGTTCTGCCTTTTCCCAGAGAATTTGCTGGTACGCTCCCATACAGGCCCCATAATTCGCCATGCGGGCCAGCAAGAGGGCACCGGAGTAAAGCTTCCTGCCCACTGCGTCGAACCTCTTCCCTTCACGGTCGGACGGCGCCGACGACTGCCTTCCGAACCCCTGAGCCGCTTTCACGACCACCGAGTTAGGGTCGGGATGGTGTTTCAGCCACTCCAAGCCCTCATCGTCCGTTCTGTACCAAGATTCAATTTTCTTGGAAGTTGGAGGGATGGAGGAGGGGGTCTTCCAAGAGCCCTGGATCACTTCAAGGAGGTAGGGAAGGAAGGGTAGGAGAGGAGCGGGTGGGGACTCCGCTTGCACCCTTTTAAACACCGGGTCCAGCACTGCCTTGGAAGTTTGCTTGACCTCCAGGCCTAGAGCATCAGCCATGCGAGCCATTTGATCCGCAAAGGCTCGGACATTGTCAGTGGGAGATGGAGGATCCGCCTCATAGGCATCGTGGGTAGGTGATCTCTCGATCCCGAGGGACAACACCGATCCCGAGTGTACCGATCCCGGTAACTCGCCATCTTCCTCTTCATCGTCAGCAGCCAGGGATTGGGGAGGAGGGGATGAGGAGACATCCCGACTTGGAAGCTGTAGAGGAGCCACTGGGGGAGCTTTTGAGGCCGAGGCCTGAGTAGCACGGGCCAGTCTCATGGTCTGTCTGCCCCTCTCCGGAGTCTCCAGCACTGGAGAAGTCTCCTGTCTGGCTGTCACAGTGGTCAAAGTCATGACCGACGGGAAGAGCTCCTGTCTGGCTGTCACATGTCGAGCTGGTGCCTCGATCACCGTGTCCACGGAGATCACCGGGGACTCGGGTTGCTCTGAAGGCTGCTCCGGTAAAGGCTGCGGCTCCTGAACCGGCTGTGGGACCAGCTGGGGTTCAGCAGGCTGCGACGGCGATGACCTCGCCGACGAGGTGGCCGAGGAGGCGGTGGTTTGCTTTCGGGAAGAAGAAGAAGACGAGGATGGAGGCGGCATCATCTTCTTCTTCTTTGCCGGCGGCTGAGCAGGCCTTGATACCGACTTGCCCGGGGTGGGCGGGACGGAGGATGAGGTGGAAGCGCGCCGAGACTCTTCTTGAGACCGGCGGAAGGCAATGCGAACCGCCGTGGAAGATGGCGGAGTCGCCGACGTCGACCTCGTGGACCTGGTCGATCTCACTGACGCCACAGAGCTGGTCGACGAGTGTCGGATGCGTACGGTCTCGGTAGTGACCGTGCATGGAGCCTTCTGCTTCGCAGGCTTTGTAGCCTTAGAAGCTGCCGATGCTGAGGCCTTCGAAGCCGTTGACATAGCTGCTCTCGGCCTTTTCTGCGCGGCCTTCTTCGCCCTTGTTTGGCGAGGCTGGGCCTCCGTCGAGGGATCAACAGATGTTGTTGTCGATGTCTTCGACGTCGAAGCTGATGTCGAAGGCCTGGATACCGCGGCTGACGTCGACGCCGATGTCGATGTTGAAGGTGCCGGAGCCAACGTCTGTTGGTACAGAAGGTATCGAAGCCGATGGACCCGGTTCTTACGGGACTGTGCCGTCAATGATTGACAATGACGACACGAGGAGGTGATATGTGCCTCTCCGAGACACAAGAGGCAAAGAGCGTGCTTGTCCGAATCAGGAATCTTCCTCGGACAATTCGCGCATCTTTTGAAGCGAGTTGTTGACATAATACAGTCAAACAACTCGAGAAGAAACTCTAAGAAGAATCGCTGATAAAAATCACTATCCAACTAGAAGTACCGAAGTGAGCCGTGCGGCGGAAAAAAAGGAATTGGATCGGTGTGCGCGGGGCGCCCTTTTATCCCCTGCCGGGGCTGGGCGGGGTTACCGCCAAAACTTGAAAAGTTTTAAAATGTAGAAGTTTCCGTTGGAGCCCGCGCAGGCGCAGTCTCTCCACAAGTGTGAATTCGCAGAGACCACGAAGAAAAATATTTATTAAGAGGAAGAGGACATACAGGGATTGGTCAATGGCATATTCTTATTCTTATTATTATATGGTATATAATATGGTATTATATACCATATACCATATATATGGTATATAATAATGTTATAATTCAGGATCTAATAATGTTATAATTCAGGACTATTATATATAAAAAATTAAAAATATTATTATTATTATTATTAGGAGGAAGAGGACATACAGGGATCGGCCAGTGGCATATTATTATTATTATTATTATTATTACTATTATTATTATTATTATTATATAGTATATAATATGGTATTATATACCATATACCATATGTATGGTATATAATGTTAATATTTCATGATCTGTACTATTATATATAAAATATAAGAATATTAATATTATTTATTAGGAGGAAGAGGACATACAGGGATTGGTCAATGGCATATTATTATTATTATTATTATTACTATTATTATTTTTATTATATGGTATATAATATGGTATTATATACCATATACCATATATATGGTATATAATAATGTTATCATTCATGATCTGTACTATTCTATATAAAAATATAAGAATATTAATAATATTATTATTATTAGAAGGAGGACATACAGGGATTGATCAATGGCATAATAATAATAATAATAATAATATATGGTATATTATATATATTATATATAATAATGTTATCATTATATAATATATATATATATAATTATATCATTATGATATATAATAATGTTATTATTCATATAATTCATTTATTTTTATTATATATAAAAATTTATATTTATAATATTATTAGGAGGAGGAGGACATACAGGGATTGGTCAATGGCATAATCATCATCATGATCTTCATCATCATCATGGATATTGGGAGATGACAAGACTATTATCATTATTTTTGGGTTGTTTCCGGGCTGCCAGGCCAAGTTCCAGAAGCATTCTCTCCTGACATTTCACCCACATCTGTGGCAGGCATCCTCAGAGGTCGTGAGGTCTGTTGGAAACTAAGTAAGTGGGGTATATATATCTATATCTGTGGAATGATGTCCAGGGTGGGAGGCAAGTGTGAACGTTGCCGTTGGCCACTTTGATTAGCACTGAATGGCCTTGCAGCTTCAAAGCCTGACTCATTGCTGCCCAGGGGAATGTTATTATTATAGTTATTCCAGTGGAGTGCGCCTGGTGGTTTCCTCACCTCAATCTTCCTCATGACCAGCAGCCCATCGACGATCTTTCCTGCCGGATGAGAAAAGGCAGAGATGCGAATCATTCGGTATTGCATAGAACGCCTCTTTCCTTGGAGGCTTTGAGGGTATCCTTAAGGCAAAATTTCCCTTTCCTTCCTCTTTTCCTCCTCTCTTCTTCCTTTTCCCTTCTTTCCCTTCTCTTCCCCTTCATGCATATCCTTTCTCCTGATTGAGTTTTCCTTCCCTCTTCCCTCCCTCATTCCCTCTCCCTTTTCCTTCCTTCCTTCCTTCCTTCCTTCCTTCCTTCCTTTTCCCCCTGTCTTCTTCCTCCTTTTTTCATCCTTCCTCCTTTCTTTCCTCCCTTCCTTTTTTCTTCCTTCCTTTCCCCCTTCTTTTCTCCCTTTCTCCATCCTTTTTCTCTTTCTCCATCCTTCGTTCCTTCCTTCCTCGCTTCTTTTTTCCCTTTCTTATTCCTCCCTCGCCCTCCCTTTCTCCTTCCTTCCTTCCTTCTTTTCTCCCTTTTTCCTTCCTTCCTTCCTTTTTCCTTTCTCCATCCTTGGTTCCTTCTTTCCTCGCTTCTTTTTCTCCTTTCTTATTCCTCCCTCCCCCTCCCTTTCCCCTTCCTTCCTTTTTTCTCACTTTATCCTTTCTTCCTTCCTTTCTCCTTCCTTCCTCCCTTTCCTTCCTTCCTCCTTTTCTCCCTTTCTCCTTCCTTCCTTCCCTCTTCCCTTTTTCCTTCCTTCCTTCCCTTTCCTTCCTTCTTTCTTTTCTTCCTTTCTCCATCCTTTTCCTTCCTTCCTTGTTCTTTTTCCCTTTCTTATTCCACCTTCCCCCTCTCTCCTTCCTTCCTTTCTTTTCTCCTTTCTTTTCTCCTTCCTTCTCCTTTCTCCCTTCCTCTCCTCCTTCCTTCTTTTCTCCCTTCTCCTTCCTTCCTTTTTCTTCCCCCTTCTTTTCTCCTTCTCCTTCCTTCTTCCTTCCTTTCCTTCTTATTTCCTCCTTCTTCCCCCCTTCCTTCCTTTCTCCTTCCTCTTTCTCCCTTCCTTCGTTCCTCCTTCCTTCTTTTCTCCCTTTCTCCTTCCTTCCTTCCTTCCTTTTTCCTTCCCCCTTCTTTTCTCACTTTCTCCTTCCTTTTTCCTTTTCCCCTTCCTTTTCCTTCCCCCATTTCCTTCCTTATTTCCTCCCTTCCTTTCCCTCCTTCCTCCTTCCTTCCTCCTTTCCTCCTTCCTTCTTTCTCCCTTTCTCCCTTCCTTCTCTCTTTCCTTCCCTTCTTTTCTCTTTCTCTCCTTTCCTTCCCTTCTTTCCTTCCTTCTTCCTTTTTCCTCCTTCCTTCCTCCTTCTCTTCCTTCCTCCTTTCCTCCCTTCCTTCGTTCCTCCTTCCTTCTTTTCTCCCTTTCTCCTTCCTTCCTTCCTTCCTTTTTCCTTCCTCCTTCTTTTCTCACTTTCTCCTCCCTTCTTCCTTTTCCCCTTCCTTTCCTTCCCCCATTTCCTTCCTTATTTCCTCCCTTCCTTTCCCCCCCTTCCTCCTTCCTTCCTCACCGAAGACGACGTGCTTCCCGTCCAGCCAGTCACACTTGGAGCAAGTGATGAAGAACTGGCAGCCGTTGGTGCTGGGACCGCTGTTGGCCTGCGAGGAGAGGAAGCCAAGGGTTGGGAGTGAAAGAAAGGAGGGATGGAAAGGAAAGGGAAGAAGAGAGGGACGGAGGGAAAGAGGAAGCCAGCGTGAAAACAGGAGGGGGGCAGCAGACCCTCCAGTACACAGGCAAAAACCAAGTACATAATAATAATAATAATGAAAATATTGAATGAAAATAATGAAGCTATGGCTCCCACTACTAAGGAGATATCAATGGCCCTCCCTCTTATGTATTTCCTCCACCACAGACATCCCAGTGTTCCTTACTCTCTCCATTGTCACCATGAACATGTCCAAGAGCCCTGCCCATGTCCACACACACCCACCACCCAAGGGAAGGCTTTCATACACAGGCAACGTCACCCTAGATATTATGTGTTTCCTCCACCACAGGCATCCCAGTGTTCCTTACTCTCTCCATTGTCACCATGAACATGTCCAAGAGCCCTGCCCATGTCCACACACACCCACCACCCAAGGGAAGGCTTTCATACACGGGCAATGTCACGATAGATATTATGTGTTTCCTCCACCACAGACATCCCAGTGTTCCTTACTCTCTCCACTGTCACCATGAACATGTCCAAGAGCCCGGCCCATGTCCACACACACCCACCACCCAAGGGAAGGCTTTCATACACGGGCAACGTCACGCTAGATATTATGTGTTTCCTCCATCACAGACATCCCAGTGTTCCTTACTCTCTCCGTTGTCACCATGAACATGTCCAAGAGCCCTGCCCATGTCCTCCACCAACACTACACCACCCAAGGGAAGGCTTTCATACGGGGACAATTCCATCCTAGATTTCATGCGTTTCCTCCACCACAGGCATCCCAGTGTTCCCTGGGTTGGGTTCCTCTTGCAACAAAGGAGTGAAAGAAATCACATGGGCAATGTTGGGGACTCAAACCAGTGAATAAAATAATA